AAACCAACGTATGAATATCTACAACAGCAATATGTATTCTACAACAGCACTATTGATCATGACTAGTGTTTGTGCTTGTCGAGTAAGACCATTGTATGGAACTGCATGTTTACTGTATTGGTTTATGGATTCGTTGTTTTTATAGATTTCTGCTTTTATCGACTTTGATCGGATTTACTAGTTCGTACGATTTCATTGATTTCACTGATTGATTGCTGTGCATCGACATTGAGCATTGATATAGAAATGGATGAATATAGATATTGTATTGATAGCATGGATATGAATAGTATAGAATCATTGATACTGTTGCTTATAGATTCATTGTTACTACTGTCTATGGATTTATTGTTCGCATATAGATTTACTGTTTCTGCACCGTATTGATTGCTGCATGGATTCACTGTTAGAATAGATTGAGATTTATCGTACTGCTTTCCTCGTTTGATTGCATTGAATCGATTGATTTGATTGGATAGAGATTGATTTGACGGATTGACTGATTTTCTTTTGGGTACGGCTTTCTTCGAGATTGACATGGATTTATTGAGTTGATTTATTGATCGTCTACCGCTGCATTGACTGGTTTTATTGACTACTGGATTTCCGTATTGCACAGATTCATTGACCATTGACTGATATAGATTTGATTGACTGTGATTGATTGACATGCATATTGATAGCATCGTCGTGCTTTGATTTCAGTTATAGGTATTAGGTGACCTGCTGGGCTTTGTAAAGCTCATTATATGTGGTTGATATTTTCAGGTCAGGGCAAGGGAGCAGAAGATAGGAATTGATCCAGATCTTCAGGTTTTTGTCTTTTGATTGATAGTGATTCTTTTGTACTCAGGATAGATTTCAGAACTGGTGATTGTAGTGAAATTCCTGAGTATTTGTACATGACTTTTGAGATATGAATCGACTTGTATATTGATGTTTTACATTTTATAGATGTTTGATAGACTGCTTAATTGAAGGTTTTAGATAACTCTGGTAAATTGTTTGAGTAATTTATTGACATTCTTTCCAAGTTAGATCTTGGGGCATCACACAAACATAGTTGGGGTGAAGAGAATCTTGAAAGCCAGGTGGTTGTTGTATATAGATAGTATCACTGAGGTTGCCATGTAAAAATGCATTTGAGACATCTAGTTGGGTGATATTCCAGTTGTGATGCAGAGCTATAAGAATAAAAACATGGATTGTAGAAATTTTAGCTACGGAGCTGAATGTCTCTTGATAGTCTAAGGCGTATTCTTGATTAAAGCCTTTTGCAACAAGTCGGGCTTTATATTGAGATATAGAGCCATCTGAGTTAAACTTAGTTTGAAACATCCATTTACAACCAAGTATGTTTTGAGTTGGATTTGGAGGAACCAAATCCCATGTGTCTTGGGTTTGAAGAGCTTGAAACTCCTGTGACATGGCCGAACGCCAATTTGGACATTTGATTGCTTGATGATATGTGGTAGGTTCGGCTGGGTGCAACATATGAGATAGGTCAAATATGTGTTTTGGTTTAGTGAGGCCGATTTTAGAACGAGTGATCATGGGATGAATGGAAGGGATATGTAAAGTTTTATTAGAACCGGCTGAGTGGGATATATGCTGTTCTGGCACGGGTGAATGAGCATCCCGTGAAGTGCCTAGGTTTTGGCTAGTAGAAGAAGAAGTAATGCCATGTGAATGTGAAATTATGGTAGGAGGATTTGGGAATTGTCTAGCAGGAACCTAAGTCTGAGCTGTGGGAAGCCTGGAAGTCGGAACCAGTAGTAAAGGTGGAGGAGTGGAATGTAAGGTGTGTTGATCAGTGGAACAAGATAGAAGTTCTTTATAAGGAAAAATGGCTTCATTAAACACCACATGAGAAGAAGTATAAATTTTGTGTGTTGTTGGGTCCAAGCAACGATAGCCTTTTTGAAAAGGAGCATAGCCTATGAAAACGCAATGATAAGATAAGGGTGAGAGTTTGTTTGGAGAATAAGGTTTTAACCAAGGGTAACAAAGGCACCCAAACACTTTGAAGTGAGTATAGATTGGCTGTTTTTGATATAGCAACTCATACGGAGATTTGTTGGAGGTGTTAGATGAAGGAAGACGATTTATGAGATATGTGGATGTCATGAGTGTCTCTACCCATAAATGTTGAGGAAGAGAAGCCTCAAGAAGAAGGGTGCGAAGAGTCTCAATGAGGTGACGATGTTTTCTCTCAGCAACCCCATTTTGGGAAGGTGTATGCGGGCAAGAAAATTGATGTATGATTCCCAAATTTTTAAAAAATATTTTAAATTTGCTGTTGAGGAATTCACCACCGTTATCAGTACGAAGAATTTGTATTTTATCATTAAATTGTTGTTCTATCATTTTGTGAAATTCAAGAAATGTGTTGAAAACATCAGAATTTTGAACAAGAGGGTAAACCCAATTATACTTTGAAAAATCATCGATAAAAGATACATAGTATCGATATCCGCTACATGACATAGTTGGGGACGGTCCCCAAACATCAGAATGAACTAAAAAGAAAGGTTTAGAGCTAACATTTTGAGACAAAGAAGTAGATAGAAGACGAACAAATAGTAAATTAAATGAAAGATTGAGTACAAGATTTAATTGAGACAATTGTAGACTACCTTGAGGTGTAGGTAAGATTCCTTTACTAGTGGTGTGAATCGGAAGTGTTTGGCCATTGCCAATGACTACCTGATTTGTTCCTATGTAAGGTTGAGACGTTTGAAAATGAGTGAGATCGGATGTAAGGTGGGAGGAAGCCCCACTATCAAGAAACCAATCTGTTTGGTTCATAGTAGAGATCGTTTAATGTCAAGGGTTGTAGATTGGTTCAGATTGAAGTCTTGAAGGATTGATATGCCGGTGACAACCCATCCAATGTGTAATGGATAATATCTTCGACATCTAATGGGGCACCGGCTGCAGCTAAAGCATTGGCTTTAGTTTTGACGTCCAACAGACACTTAACCATTGTCTTGCCTTTCATGGATAGATAATGGAGTTCATGCTTCAATTGGATGATTCTTGATCGCGTACTGGATTGAAGTCTGCGATCAAGAATGGCCCAAATTTTTGCACAGCTGTCCACAGAGAGAACTTAAGGCAAGATTGAAGAAGAAATAATCGAATATAAGGAGGCAGCAAGATTTTGATCTAAAGAATGCCAGGCAACGTAATTTGGATTGGCGATCGTGAGACCAGCTGCATCGGTAATCTTCTCAGGTGGCGGTGAAGTTGTGCGGTCCAAAAGACCTTCATAACCATTTGCACGGAAGAGTTTGAGAACCTGAGTTCTCCAAAGATGGTGATTGTCGACAGAGAGGGGCTGAGCGACAATGTTCTTGATGTTTCCCATCAAGAATTTGAGCGATGTGGGAATTTGCGGAGACTCCTGGGAACGATTGCGGATGACCGGAGTTTCATAGGCGAACTGTTGTGTAGAAGACATAGCCGAAGATTGAGGCATGATCGGAGAAAAAGAAGACGAACAAGAAAGAAATAAGGGAGATGAAACGAGTTATTCTGATACCATGTTAATGCTCAGGACAACCCAGAGAGCCGAAACAGAGAAAAGGAAAAGCTTGATTTCATTTACTATGAAGGGCTCTTTAAATAGAAGAGCAAGGTACAAAAATTACAATGAAGTATAATTACAAGTAATATTTAATGCCACGTGTATAATACATAACTGTTAACAATTTCTGCTAAAAAAAGAGGGAGTTGAGTGAGAGAGGAGACTGCGGCTGCTTGATGCATGAGCATGAGTGGGATGGATGGATAGGGCAAAGGGAGTGGGGGCAAAATTACCTAATTATCCTTAATATAAAACTTCTTTTTAAGGAGGGCAATTGCCCCCCTAGACGGTACTTGGTTTCACCACTGGCTAAACATTATCTTCATAAGGATACGAAAGAAATCAGAATGTTAAAAAAAAAAAAATTAAAAGATGCAATTATTGGAGCATCAACGACTCAATGATCTAATATATGTTTAGTATAATTTAAATTTAAAGAATAGCTATAATCTTATAGTATATTTGTATTTATGTACAATTGTCAATTTTAAGACTGTATAATCTCAAGCTAAAGTTATTTCTTCATTTTTTAGGTTTAACTTTATATATAGATTAGTATATATATTAATATATATATATAATATATATAATAATATATATTATCTATATTATGTTGTCTATTAACTATACATGTGTGAAATGGTAAACTTTTTTGATCACTTGAAGATGAACAACGCCAAAACATGATTTTGAGGACTTAGAAAATGAGATATACAAAGAAAATACAATGCCAATTTTCGAAGAACAAAACATACCATCCAATCAAGCAAGATATAATAAGTTGATAATGAAATATGAATATATCATTTAAATAAAACAAAAAAAGAAAGTCTTATTTTATATTTCTTATTTATTGATAAAGGTGATTTAGAGAATGAAGGAGATGAAAACGACATAATCGAGTTCGATCAATCAGATTCATTTCGGTTTGAAGATTTTGATGAAGTGAGATCTGAAGACTCAACTTATGTGAATATATTTTATGATGAAAATTTATGATATCTTTGATTTTTTTAATTAAGAAATTATTGAAACTATTGAACTAAAAAAGAAAAACATAATTAACTTCATTTCTATATCATGAATATATCTTCTTTCGTTATCAGTTGGTATAAGATTTTAAAATTTTTCTATAATTAGTTGTCCGTAAATGAAATATATTATTATGCTTTACTTATTTATTCTATATTTGATTATTAGATTTACAATTTTAATAACTATCTAATATTTATTTTATTTTTTAACTTGTTTTTAAAATTGGGTCGGATTCAAATCAGGTTAAATAGTAATGAGTCAATTTCAGGTTGAACCGAATCAGTCTGAAAGCCATTTTGACACGTACGGGTACGGATAAATTGGCGGTAGAGCGCATATATTTTCCCGCCTTGTGGTTTTCGCGGCGACCTTAAAACCCTACCGATCCAAAAATCCCCGTCTCTCATCTCTTGCAATCCTTCACTCCCTCTTCCTTCGCATGCTTTAGGGTTAGCAGAGGACGTTCAGTTCGATCATTCTGTAGAAACAATGGACACGTCAAGTCCTGCGGTGTTCGTGAACGCCGAGCTTCTCAAGATGCACGTGGGTAAGCGAGTTCGCACTGTGCTCCAAGTCGCGAGGAACGAAGGCGGCGTTATGATTGGGCAATCCACTGACGGGCAGCAGCTGACGGTGAAGGGTGGCGATCCGAAGGGCTTCCCCCTTTCCCACTACGTCGAAGTTATAGGCATCGCCGACGGCAATCAGTCGATCCGAGCCGAAATATGCACTGATTTTGGTGAACGATTTGGTACCTGATTCTTTCTTACATCGATTTGACACCACTATAATTCTCCACTAATAAGTGAAATTTCTGTTGTTGATGTATGCTTGTTATCCATGAGCTCAAGTAATGTTTACATATCAGGAGCTTTGTCAAATAGCTTTATATAAAGGGTGATTAGAAGTGCGAAACTAGGTTACAATCTATAGGCAACAATCAACTTAAGTTATAAATGGTAATGATTTGAATCCAATCGGCATAAAAGAAAGCTTCCAAGATCTTTGATAGCAAATCTTTTTCATATCTCAGCCTTAGCACTCCCCTTCCAATTGGAGCATGGGCATCCATAATTGTTGACTTGTCAAGATGAGAATGAAACAATGCGTTTTCCCATTGATTTCGTGAACAATATATGCAACTTGAAGGTGGGAAGGCATGAAGAGGGCCTGTACTTGTCCGATTGAAATCTTGTCTCCAATCAAATAGCAATCCAACAAAACGTGTTTTGTTTGCTATGAAAGATTGGATTTGTTGTGATATGCATGGCTTTTTTATTATCACAGTGCATCTTAGGTATCTCAACCAAGTGAGACTCATAAGTGATAGAAGCCATGATATTAAGGTTTGCTTTTAGTTTCTCAAGAAATGAGTGACCTCAGTGATAGATTTTCTGATAGTCGGTCAACTTGACCAAACTGAATTACAAAACCCACCTATATATCTTCAAATTGTTTTGAATTGTAAATAACAATTTGCCTAGCAGAATTCTTCAACTATCTTAAAATGTGAATTTTTGCATCAAGATGTGGCTTTCATGGTTCCTGCATGAATTGGCTGAAAAAATGGATGAAACAAGATATGCTTGGCCTTGTAATGGTAAGATAAATGGGGCATCCAATAAGTCATCTATACGTTAATGGATTGTGGAGAAGATGACCATCAATAAGTGTGAGCTTAAAATTTTATTCCATAAGAAAAAGTTGTTGGAGTTGCACCAAGTAAGCTTATGCTATTGGGGATATCCAAAGGATACTTCTTCTGTGAAATGAAAATTTCTTGATTGGATCATGTTACCTTAATACCTAAAAAGTATTTAAGCATTCCAGGATTTTAATCCAAAACTGGTCATAAAGGAACCACTTAAGAGACTCTATTGTAGTTGGAGCATAGTTAGTAGTAATTATATTGTCAATATAAATAACCATGATTTTAAAAGTATCTTCAAGGAATAATGCAAATAGTGTGTAAGTAATCAACCTTGGATTGTTGAAACCCAGCATTTTGAATGACAATGGAGAATTTATGAAATCAATTGCAACACGCTTGCTTCAGGTAATACAACAATTTTTTTAGTTGTCATACAAAGTTCTCCCCTTGTTAAATATATGCAGGAAGAAAAAACTTCATTATAGTCCATCCCTTCAATCTCTTTGCTTCCTTTGACAACCAACTAAGCCTTATAATGCTCATAATCCCATTTGATTTGACATTATCTTATAAAATCTTTTACAACCTATGGGTTTTTTTTACCTTGAGGGACAGTAGTAGGTGACTAAGTATTGTTTTCTTGTAGAGCTCTAATCTTTGAATGCATCACCTCTTGCCACTATGGGTCTTTCTTAGCTTGAAGAAAAGTATTTCATTAGACAGAATGAGAAATACTAGAGATATGACATGGTGAGATGTAAAAAACTTACTATAAGATATTAATTTGGATAGAGGATAGCATAAAGCATAATGAATATCTTTGAAGGAAATAGATTTAGAAGTGGATGATTAAATGTAGCATATTGTATGAGCACAATTGGGGTAAGGACCATCGAGCCATGTTGAAGGGTGATGTGCATTCAAAACGTCGTGGTGCTTTAATATCATGTAGGTGTCTCATTTTTTTTTATGTAATAATATCTCGACAATTGTTAGATTCTCAGAGACAATTATATATTTGGATATGGAAATTTCATTTGTTATTAACTCATTCAAAAGCAAAGGAAAAATTAACAGATCAAAGATTGGCTCTTGAAAAATATTGTAGGACGACGATGTCGGCTGGAGAAACATTATTTGTTGGCCAAGTCATATATTTTATAAGCCTTTTGATTGGGTGGTTATTTAACAAAATTTCACCTTCAAGCATGTTTATAAAATTTATTTGTTGGTTTGATGTTAGTAGCATAACCATGGTATCTAAACACATTCAAATGATCATATGAGGTCCAACTGTAAAGCTTCTCAAAAGGAGTTTTCTTTAAAAGTAGGTTGGGCAATAGATTGTTAAGATAAGTAGTAGTTAGCACATTCACTCCAAAAAGTAGGAATGTCGGCTTTAAACCTGAGTGCGTGAGCAACATTGAGGATACGTTGTTTTGTTCAGCTATTTTATTTTGTTGAGATGATATAATAAAAGAATGTTGCTAAATGATACCCTACTCTATAAAGAAGGGATGCATGGAGTCAAACTCAGTCCCATCAGCAACTTGAATGCGCCTAACATTTCCTTCCAATTGTCTTTCAGCTTAATAAAAAAATAAAGATTTCAATAAGTCTTTGTTTCAAATTAAAATGCATCAAATAAATCCATTTAAAATGTGTGAAATCATCCAATGTTGTCAGTAAATAATTTGTTCTAAAATGAGATGTAACTCTATGTGGGTCCCCAAATCTATGTATTAATTCAAAATGCTCAACAATAACAATATAACTTGAATGAAAAGTAAGTCTAGTTTATTAGGCCAACATACATACATATACATCACAATCTTTATTAGAATAGAAGGTGATTTCATAAGTAGTGTTCGCTAAGTGTTTCAATGTTTTGTTGCAGCGATGACTGAGTTACCGATGCCAGAGAAAATAAATGAGGGCGCATGATTGAAAATAGTATGTGTGAAAATCCTGTGTAGAGGCATCTTCATGTGGTCTAGGTTGATTATGTTGACTTTCCAAGTCAAACATCTTCTTCCTTGTCATGTCCTCTTAGGAGGCAAAAGTAGGAAAGAAAGTGACATAGCAATTTAAGGCATGTGTGATTTTGATTACATACAACAAATTGACTTGAAAGCTAGGAAATTGCGTAACTTCTTCAATCATGATCGTTGACTTAATTTTTTGCAGAACCAATATGAAATAGATGATTTTCCACTAGTTAATAAATTTATGAAATAATGTTTGGACGAAGTAGGCTTAATATAAGAAACTAGCATAAGAGAAAATGTGATGTGGCAACATTGTTTTTGATCCATTCAATAAAAGCTTTGTTTGGAACAGCTTTTTGACTGTTTTCGTGATTAAAAAAAAGTAATTAGTAAAAAATTAATCTTTGGGTGTCTAGTTCCGGAATCAGTGGACGTATGTCAACTTCGTTGCAAACTAATTTAGTGAGGTATGATTAAGATTTACAAGGGCGTAAGAAAGATCCTACAAGCTTTCTCAATTGTGTAAAAGAAGTAAAAAAGCCAACAAGGGCACCTTTCAATCTTATTCCTCAAGGAATGAGCTCCAAGAGGCCATAATACTAAGGTTAGGTTGTTCTTTGAATTTTTTTCTCTTGTAGGAGAATGATTGTGGAGCAAGTTACAACCTTTCTCAGAACCTCAATGAGGGCATCCACTTTAGATTGTAGATCTGATAAATTATCCTTCATAATCATAGTTAGTTATTCCGACGGCTCTACCGATGAGATTTTGGTTGCCAACAAAAATTTGACATTGACACACAAAAAAAGGATTTCCATTTGTGAAATATTTTAGCCAATATTTTCTAAGAATTGGATCACACATTGAAATGGTAGAACGAAAGATTTAAGATTCGACGGGAGGTTCAATCATGATTATTGAAATACAATTTCTCTTCTGCCGGGAACTGACACTTGACTTATTGTATGACCTTTTATTCTTCTGAAAACTTTATTTCTGGGCTATTTGGCACATTCTGACACTTGTTTTATTGCATTATTCATTTGAAAAACCATATGTCTCTTTCTTTCTCTACAGATGCTGTCTCTTATAATGGGTTATGCCAACTTGCCAATGGGAAATACAAGAACCTCTTCCTTTGATGATGGTAACTTCTGTTAGAGATGTTTTTAGCCTCCTGATATGTACATGGAGTTTGCTTTTGTTCAATTCTATTTAGACATTTTCTCATTGAACCTCTTGAATGTTATATCTAGGATATATGGTAATGTATTTGATTGTAATGCACTGACTTATATCACTGAGCTGCTTTGATTCTCTCTATACTGTGCATGTCATTTGGAGTATGTGAGTAGAGAGAGGAATTCATTTTCCTGCTAATTTTAGTCTTTGTTTGAGATAGCTTTCTTATTACTTCTTAAAGCTGTTTTTTATTATAAATTTTTTTATTTTTCTATTAGAAAGTTGTTTTAAGAGGCACCAAAAAAGCCTTCCCAAATAAGCCTAAATTAATTAGGAGTTGAAGATTTTGGAAGAAATTATGAAGGTAAGATAGTTTTTTTTTAAATGGCAATATGCATTTATACTTCTAAAGAGCCATGATTGTTTTACTAATTTTGAAGCTAATGTGGCATTTTGCACTCAGTTTAGCTTTTAAGAAGCTAAAATCTATGAACAAAATTGGGTTATGATATTCTGACTTAAATTTTATCAAAATACTTTTGAAGTTATTAAGTGTAATATACTGCAGTCATTTTAAAGAGAAATTGAATGACTAGAAAAGCTTCTTATGGGTTATAATATAGAAGGTAAGAATTGATGCAAATGAGGGGTCTCATGGTTTTAAGTTATTTATTATGGTTGTTGATTAATATCAGCTCTGTGAGGGTCTTTTGCTAAAAAGTATAGTTGAAATTTTATTATTATTTTTTAAAATTTGTGATGATAACTTGATTTTTATAATCTTAAATAGTGGTAAAAATATACTAAAAATGTATGTATAATTCTCACACCAACTTTCAAAAGAATATCACAGTAATTTTATTATGATTGACTTTTTTTGATAAATTTGTTTTTTGAGAGTTCAAATTGTTTTGTTCAATTCAATACAAAAATATCCCCACCTAAATTGAAGAGTGAAGATCTATTTGGAGCAATAAAAGTAACTATAATAGGGGGTGTAAGTCTCGTAAGTTGGCTCGAGTTCGACTCGTTTATGGACTTGCAAGCTGAGCTTTTATTGAGCTCGAGTTTGAGTTGTATTATATTAATTTTTATAATATGTATTATAACAAATTTATAATATATAGATTTATAATATAAAGTAAAAAAATTTGTAAGCGGGTCGGGTTCGGGTCCGGAAAATCGATGATTTTCCACTAGTTAATAAATTTATGAAATAATGTTTGGACGAAGCAGGTGTATATAAGAAACTAGTACAAGAGAGAATGTGATATGTGGCAACATTGTTTTTGATTCATTCAATAAAAGTTTTGTTTGGAGACTATTTTTGCTGTTAGTAAAAAATTAATCTTTGGTCGTCTATTCCTGGAATCAGTAGACACATGTCAAACTTCCTTGTAAACGACTTTAGTGAGGGATGATTAAGAATTACAAGGACATAAGAAAGATCCTACAAATTTTATCAATTGTGTAAAAGAAATAAAAAAGCCTACAAGGGCACCTTTCAATCTTACTAATACCAAGGTTAGGTCGTTCTTTGAATTTTTTTCTCTTTTAGGAGAATGATTGTGGAGCAAATTGCAAACTTTCTTAGAACCTCGATGAGGGCATCCGCTTTAGATTGTATATCTGATAAATTATCCTTCATAATCTTAGTTAGTTATTCCGTCGGCTCTACCTATGAAATTTTTTGTTGCCAACAAAAATTTGACATTGACACACAAAAAAGGGATTTCCATTTGTGAAATATTTTAGCCAATATTTTCTAAGAATTTGATCACACATTGAAATGGTGGAACAAAGGATTTAAAATTCGACGGGAGGTTCAATCATGATGGTGTAATCATTATTGAAATTAATTAAATTTATTTAAAACTATATAATAGGATTATATATAATGAAACATAATACCATGAAATAAGTTAAAAAGAAACATAATGTAACATGACTGACACTTGACTTATTGTATGACCTTTTTTTTCTTCTGAAAACTCTATTTCTGGGCTATTTGGCACATTCTGACACTTGACTTATTGCATGATTCATTTGAAAAACCATATTTCTCTTTCTTTCTCTACAGATGCTGTCTCTTATAATGGGTTATGCCAACTTGCCAATGGGAAATACAAGAACCTCTTCCTTTGATGATGGTAGCTCCTGTTAGATGTTTTAAGCCTCCTGATACGTACATGGAGTTGCTTTTGTTCAATTCTAATCAGACATTTTATCATTGAATCTCTTGAACCTCTTGAATGTTATATCTTGTAGGATATATGGTAATGCATTTGATTGTACTGCATTGATTCTCTCTATACTGTGTATGTCATTTGGAGTATGTGAGCAGAGAGAGGAATTCATTTTCGCGATAATTTTAGTCTTTATTTGTGATAGCTTTCTTACTACTTAAATCAGCTTTTTTATCATAATTTTTTTAAATTTTTGTATTAAAAAGTTGCTTTATGAAGCAGTAAGAAAGCCTTTTCAAACAAGGAGTTTAAGATTTTGAGAAAAATTATGAAGGTAGAATGTTTTTTTTCTAATGGCAATATGCATTTATGCTTCTTAAGAGCCATGATTGTTTTACTAATTTTGAAGCTAATGTTCTGACGTAAATTTTATCAAAATATTTTCGAAGTTATTAAATTTATTTTTAATTAAGTGTAATATATTGCAGTCATTTTAAAGAGAAATTGAATGACTAGAAAAGCTTCTTATGGGTTATAATATAGAATGTAATAATTGATGCAAATGAGGGGTCTCATGCTTTTAATTTATTTATTATGGTTGATTAATATCAGCTGTGTGAGGGTCTTTTGCTAAAAAGTAAAGTTGAAATTTTATTATTATTTTTTTCAAATTTTGACTAATTTTAAAATTCTCATTTTAAGTTTTCAAAATTTTGCCTAATTTTTAAAAATCTCGTCTAAATTTAAAAATTTCTATACATGGCTCACGAGCTGGTTCAAGCTTATTTACAATAAGACAAGCTTGAGCTTGACTCGAGCTTAAGCCAGCTTTCCAGCTAACAATCTAAGCTCTATAAATACCTAAATTCGACTCAATACTAATTTACAACCCTAAACTATAAATTATTGTAGAAAAATATTTTTTTTTTAATTATTATAAACTTTTAATTCTTTAGAAAAGTTTGATTGCAGTAGATAGCTTTCTTCTAGCAGTCATATTCAAATTCTAGTAAATCTAACTGTTAAAAAATACTTCTCATCCCATCATATTTTAAAAACAACAAAGGAATTTCAATCAAATGGAAATACATAACAATTTAAAAACCCTAAATTAAAAAAAATGCAACAATTAGTTGCATTGCCTGAATGAATGAAGGAGAAAAAGCATAATAATCCTACTAAATTTATTAATTAAATACTAAAAAGGGAACATCATCAGGGACATAAATTACAGCTTATAAAGTTTTCGCCACCTGCAGCTATTATAAACCAAATGCCAAACTTCCACTTCTCTTGAACAGAAGAAATGTGGCATATACATCCACCACTTTCTGAATCCTACACACAAACACGTACATATATTTATATGGTGGGTTTAATCGATCATTGCATGCATTTAGAAAAATCTTCAAATTTTTTTTGCTCAACTAAACTGAACGATGGATTCTCAGTCATGAACGAAGATTCTTCATTATAAGATTTCATCAAAGATTGTTGACAGAACAAGCTCCTGTGTAAACTGGCTCCTGCGAACCATTTCCTTCAGAACTTTGTCGGATAGAACTTGCGCATTACTGTAAAGATTATAAGAGCCGGATAAGTATTCCAGTAAATGAGATGCACCTAACCAAAATTTGAAGAAGAGATGAAGCCTTGCACTCTAGATTGAAAGATCAATAGAAGAATATCGTGAAAGTGGGAAAGAAAAAATGATCAACAAATACAGAATTTATGAACTTATAGAAGTTTTCCATTTAATACAGCTATTTTTAATAATCGTTGGACTCTAATAGATGTGATTTAGTGGATGCCATCATTTGCTTCAGAAATTTGAGTTTAAAGAACTGCAGAGTTCAACCAAAGCAATTGAAACTGAGGCACTTTCTATCAAGAAAAAAGAAAAGACAATAAATTCAAAACCAGAACAAAGTTCACAATAAAGGTTCTTGATGAGAGAAATTATTCTTTGAGGAGGCCGGACGCAGAACGTCATCCGGAGACCAACCAGAATGTGCCACGTCAAGGGTACGAAGTCGCAATACCAAGCGAAGAGGTGACGTTGCGCATTCTGGCTGGTTTTCGGACGGCGTTCCGCGTCCGCACATAATAATTTTCCCTTGATAAAGCTACTACAATGATATAGGTAAAATAAATAAACTCCTAATTTAACTCGATGCTCCAAAAAAAGAACACGGAGTGATTTATATGAACTTAGTAGATACCCAACAGGAAAGTAATTAGGTCAGCTTACCATTACAGCCACATTGCAGCAACATGGATCTGGAACATATCCGTGCTCTAGTTTCTTGATTTTCCTAAGATTGTACCTTGTATTTGTAAATCTATATATTGACCTACAATTCTCTGTTTCCGTAAGTTGGAGAAATATTAAGTAATGATATAATAATATTTCCATTTGACTTCCTCTCTTGATGGTTTCTTGATGTAATATGTATTAGAGACAAGGATCAACTCTTCTCTACGCCCCCATCCTTGGATTCTTGCTCTGCTAAGCCATTGATAGACACACAGCGACACACGATTATTAGTGCTCTAGTTTCTTGATTTTCTTCAGAATTTAAAATTTAACCTATTATCTATTAGTGCTCTTACAACAAATAAACAACTTATGATGACCTTCTATAATCATTTTATCATCCAGGAAAACAATAAGTAGGAGAACAATTAGTAATGTAAAAGACAAGGGCACCTCTACATCCTTGATACAAAAATATTAAACACTAATTTTCTATGAAATATATATCAACATCTATGTACATGTCTTAGAAAGACTGCATTGGCTCAAGGATCAATTAAAATGTGATGCATCAAAATTTAGCGAGAAAGAACTTTGTTACATGTGCCCTTTAGCTCAACAACTCGATTGCCATTTTTCTCTCATTATCACATGTCTAAACACACTTTGACTTGGTATATTATGACACTTGAGGACCCTATCACATTCCATCAAATTCTGGATATTAATATCTTTAACTTCAGTTGAAAATCACTCTAGATATGATGGGGAAATACCATATGATCAATATGTCTGACAAGTCGCACTATACATCAACCCAATATGCATCTTCTTCTCCAAGACTACGAAAATGTACTTTTGGAACACCAATGGACATTAAGATAAAGAAAAAAAAAATGAAGTACTGTACTATACTTTAATATGGAAATGTAACAATGGTTTATTTTTTTATGAGTTGGATCTAACAAATAGGAAGCATCCAATGCAATCCCTAAATTTTTTCATATGATTGTACCTAGTTTATAAAAAAAATTCATCGGATAATGCAAAAAATTAAACCTGACAAATTTCTTTAATATTAAAGATGTGATACATCAACTTTCATGCATAGCAGACCCCAAAAAAATTTTGTGGTTAAAGGAAAGCATCAACATCTATTAAATGTTGTCAGGGCTTCATACTTTCATTCTTGTGTCCCCATTCATTTTTGGAATGAATGCATACTCACAACTTTTTCATTTAATTGAAAACCATCTTTGTTGGTTAAACACAATACACTATATGAAATGTCATATGATAGACTATTGATTACTCTCTTTTCAGATTTTTGGATGCTTGGCTTTTGTTTCCACCCTTCCAATCAATCAAACAAAATTCAAACCAAGAGTCCACACTTGTGTCTTTCTCAGTCATCCACTAGGCATGAAATCCTACAAACTCTATGACATTGAGACGAAAAAAGATTTTTATAATCACAAGATGTTGTCTTCTATGAAAAGGCCTTCCCTTTTCAACATAATGTTAACATAAACAACTAGGAGGATCCTTTTTTGACTTTGTGCTTCCAAGCTCTTCCATAAACATTTAGGACAACATCCCTAATTGCACTTTGACTCGAGAAAATCACCTCCCACCAAAATTTAGTGGGATCAATGATACCGAGTCCAATCAAGATCTCATAATTTCGTTACCTTGGGCCGTCGTGATCCCTAGTATGCTTGGTCAAAGGAGAGAATCGACCCAACCTGATTGAAGGATCATTTTTTACAGTCATAAGTTACCTCGTCTAAGATTATCTTGTAGACTTGGAATGAATACTAGATTAAGGGGACCTTTTTGAGTCGAGCATAGCAAATAGATGACTTTGTGTACTATCAAGTATACCCTATGAGTCATTACTCAAAAGTTTTGAGCTAATGGGAAACATACAAACTTTAGTCATGATCGTAATTTAGTGGCACCATTTTGGGGCAAAACAAAGTGGTCAAAAGACCTTGGTCGTAATCGTTTACTTGTGGTTCCATTTAGTGGCAAAATCATCAATTAGAGGACATGTCCACGTCCATACCGATGAAAGATTGTTTAAGAATGAATCTTAGCGATATGCTCGATACGACATTTGCTCTTTGTGAGCTAGGGTAATTTTCAAATTTATTACCCCCAACAAACAGTTATGGAAGATAAGTGAATTTTGATTTAAGTTTTTCTTAGGTGATAATCTATGATGCACCGACACGGACACAACACGACACGGACATGGGACACGACATTTTTTAAAAATATAGGACACGGGTGCGGCGTGGACACGACATAATAATAATAAATCAAAGTAATTATAACTTGTTTAGCTTATAACATAAAAATGTTTAGTACAAAATGTCTAGTATAACCACAAAAATATAAGCAAAAAATCATTTAGTACAACATGAAAGTTCAACTACTCAATAGAGGGAATGATAGAATTAAATTCAGAGGTTAATCTTTGGCCTTCAATATCATCATCATTGAATATCATTGCTTCCAACTCTAATTCATCTAGAGATAGATTTGCAACCTCCAATAATCCCATATCATCAAGGCACTAGAATCCATCTCCAGCAACATCCCATATCTTGTTATCACCTGTCATATAAAGTGGGGTTTTCCTTGATAGAAGACGAAGATTTCTATGCACATAAACTAAATCTTCAGTCCGTTGTGGAGTTATTTTATTCCTCTTCATTGATTGAATAAATGAGTATGTGCTCCAATTTCTCTCACAACAGGAAGAGAATGATACTTGGCCAATAAGTTTTATTGTTATGGTTTGAAGAAGCGGTGCTGAAGCTTCATGAATCAACCACCACATTTTTGAATCCATCATCTATCAACCAAAGATTCTTGATCACCAAAATCTTCTAAATATCCAAAGAACTTTGCAAGTTATATATTAATTTTTCTTCTCTCCTCATTTGAAAAATATCGTTTCAAGCATATCTTTCTCATATTTGATACTTCTAAATCTTTTTGTGGTGAGACACATTGAGGGTCTTCTTGAAGCTATTCTTTACTTGAATACTTTCAAATAATACAAAGCATATAAAATTATTTATTTATTTACCAAGAAATTTAAAAAATAATTTAAAAGATGAATACAAATCTATCTTGGATTTAATGAATGGGCCAAACAATGTAGATGTGTGTTGCTTCTGATCTACCTATCTTCAAAAATGGTATAGACAATACTCCAAAAACTTGAATTTTCATTATGTGACTTTCTTTCATGTCTGTATATAATATCTTTCACTTTTGTTAACATAGAGTCACACATCTCATAAATCAAATGTAAGCGTGATTTATCCGTGTCATCCTCTCTCAACATGTCATAAATCGGATCAGTGAAAGCCAAAATGTAATCTATATCATCCCACCACAAATCATCTAAGACCTTTTCTTTCAAATACCTTGCATTTCCAACATCATCTTCTCGATAGCAAGACCACTTCTCACTAATCACCATAGATTGAAAAGCATTTTTTATTTGTTTTGTCTTCTCAACATAATTATGACAGAGGCAAAACAAGTTTCAGAAATAGCTAACATTCTCAAATGTGAGAAATCATTAAACATTGAAAGTCTTATCGAGTGATTCATAATGAAATTTTTTATCAAAATAGCATCATCTGCAACCATCGTTATCCAATGACATTCAGCATAGATGATTTTATTTGCTTCTGTATTCTTCATTGCACAAATATTTTTTAGAGCAAGATTTAAAGTGTGCACAACACATGAATCCGGAATATATGAGGATAAGTTTGTTCCACCAACAATCCTACAGCTCTATACATCGGTGCATTATCTGTTATAACCTGCACAATATTTGAAGGCCCAATAATAACTATCACCTCTTTACTCAAATTGACAATGAAATATTTATCCTTGTATTCTCCTTCATAACTCACAACTTTAATAAACATTTGGCAATTCTCTGTAACGATCATGAAATTAAAGAGTAGTCTTCTTTGAAGATCAGTCCAACCATCACACATCAAAGTGACTCCTTTTTCTTTCCACGCCTCTTTTGTTGGTTCAAGCAACGTTTCAATATGTGCTGTTTCCCTTTCCAATAATTTTGATCTTAATGCATTGTAGCCAGGTGGAACATAACCTGCAAGGTTGTTATTACATGTAAAAGTGAATGCATTTTTATAATGAGGATTTCTTGCAAGGTTGAAAGGAAGTCCAACTGAAAAAAAAAAAAACATTATTGCAATTTCACCATCCAATTCCTCTCGTTGTTGCATGTTAAAAGCCTTCTCTAAAGCACTACGGGCA